TGAGGTGTGAGGATTTCGACGTGAGGCTTACCTCTGATTACTGCGCAGAATAATTGTTTTCCATTACTTCACCTTTTAAGGAAACCTGTTGATTTGAGCTTGACGGCATTTGGATGATGTCATGGAAGAAGCGTCTTTGCTGCCATCAGTTTGCTTTTCACACAAAACATCATCAAAAGTCTTACTGTGTGCAGACAAACAGTCTGCCTCATTCATCAGGAAATCTGTTAAATTTGTGCTTGTACATTTGGCATGTTACATTTAAAAGAAATATGTATAATGGATCTTTAGAGCTGTTGCTAAAGCAAACCAAAATACAACAAAATTCATTGATATTGAGTTTTACTGCCTGTTATGGTAAAAGTCATGGACCTGGAACCAATTAATGGAGGATTGTAGAAGAAGTGATAAATCATTTAGCACAAAATGAATAGATGAGTTTATTCAGTTGTAGACATAAAGCCTAAAAGGGTCTATGGCCACTCACAGGATCTAAAAACTGTGTTTATAATTTGTGTCAAAATAAATCTCGTTGGAACCTTAACTTCAATTTTTCTACATGTAGTGTTGATATACTGTATTTTCCACACTATAAGGCGCACTTAAGATCCTTAAATTTTCTCAAAAAACGACAGTGCGCCTTATGTATAAATTCTGGTTTCTTACTGACCTCGAACCGATTTTATGTGCTACACGGCGCTCAAACATCTGTCAAAAAATGTTTTAGTACGACTTTGGTAAGAAAGAAGCCGCACCGCTTGATGGATTGTGGGAGCGTTACAGCTACTGTAGTCAGGAGGCTCGCGGAGTAATCTGGGTCCAAAACTCCGTTTGTTCAGGTCTCAAAGTCAAACGAACACTGCGACATCACTGAGAGTTAAAAACTGCCTAAATTATTTCATCTTTAATAAAATGATCAGCGCTGCTGCTTCACCAGGTGTAACAAATAAGTTTAACATGCAGGCATCCATGAAAACAGAATTTCTTAAATTTAATAATTGCGAGGCCTTTTCACAGATGTGATTTCCTTTTCACAGACATGCATCATTTATTTAATGTAATCAGTTCTTCAGTGGTAAACCTGTAAAGAAATGACGATTCTCCTGGTCGCCGTTTCGATGAAACTTAAAAAACAAGCAAAAAAAATAGATAAATTGTGAGTTCAAACGATGATTAAAGTCAGTTAGTTTCACTTTTGCGCGCTACATTTAACCGACGTCTCTCTCTGTGATCTTTTTGTTTCCATCCCAACAATGATTCATCGTTCCTGCTGCCAAAAGCAGCCAGAAATGACATTTTTCCTTATGTTTTCCCTTATTAACACCTCGTATCTCTGTTTCTTTTCTGTCAGGCCTTCGATGCGTTCATCTATATCTTCTTTGCTATGGAGATGGTTGTAAAAATGATCGCTCTGGGGATCTTTGGTCGACGCTGTTACCTCGGGGACACGTGGAACAGGCTGGATTTCTTTATCGTCATGGCAGGGTGAGGACCTTCTGTTCCATTTATCTGACTCCTCTTTCCACATCAGGAGACTCACACGGGTGGGAGCGCTGAAGGGTTTTCTCCCAAACACATGTCTTGACAGCTATAACATCAACAACAAAAACAAATAAATAAAATGTAAAAAAATAATAAAGGGAAAGTATGAACTCATGCATTGTGGGTCAGTGTAATGCTAATTAAATACAGCCAAAGGGCTACACTTAAACATTAGCTGACTCCTTCTCAGTAATTTGTTCACTGTTCCTCTTCGGTCTGCTAATATAACTTGTAAATGTTTCATTCCACATTTAAACTGGAGCTCTCACACAGAGAGTGTTTGAATTATTCGAAAGTTCAAATATTTAATTATGATCAATTCTGTTTCGCTTCTGTTTAAAGGCCAGGTTCCAAATCCCTTTTTGGCTCATCCTTTTTTGTCTTCCTCTACAATCCCACAATCCACTGTGCTGCGATGCGTAGCCAATCAAGTCGGTGTTACAAATGTAACATGGCAGTGGGTATTAACGTGTGGATAGTAACTGGCTCTCACTTGGGACGTGACTGGCAGTAACACAGTGATGATGCGATTCAGCTGAGCTAATCATCTCAATGGAACTTATTGAATGAGCTGAAATTACCCAGCCACAAATTCTGTTTGTGTCAGGGTTACTGATGTCTCGAAGGGATACCTTTAAATGGTAAAAAAAAGGTATGAAATATTTTTCTTTAGACAAAGTCAGCCATTAAATGTGCGTGTGCTTTTTTTTGTTAACTCTGCTGAGCTTTTGTGCAACTAAGGGATTACCGACTCCTGATGCTAATCCTAACCCACTCCAGTGTACCAAGTATAATTTTGTTCACTTGTCTCATTAGTAGTGATTTCCCACTCTCTGCAGCTTAGTAAAATCCCTTGTTATGACCATCTATAATGTTTCTCTTTTAATCGCAGTGAATTGCTCAGTTTCTTGGAGCACTGGTGGTAGAGGTGGGCCAGTCGATCCAGTAGTATTGATACCAACACTGATATTGGTATCGGATCGATACTAATGTGACAGGATCGATACTTTGTGTCTGTCCTCTAAGTTCATGATGTCTTGCTCCCTGATGAACCTTTTTGGATGTATACCCTGTAGCACATTTCAGTAACAGAAGTTGACCCAAAGTGCTTTAAAGACAGGAACATTTATATTTTACATCTCCAAAAAAACCCAGTTTAAAATATACATGAGAAGCTGAAAAGTTTTGTTTGTGATTGTGTTCAGAATTTGCAAATTGATGATGATGAATCACGAATGACACATTGTTCTCTCCTACATAAGCTGCCTTTACAGGTTAAAAATGTTGGTATTTCTATCGGCAATACAGGCTCTGTATTTACTTGGTAACAGATTTATACCAAAATTTGCAGTGTCGCACAGTACTAGTAGGTTGTGGTTGGGGGCGTTTTGTTTTGTTTTTCTAATTATTTAATGTCTTTTTATTAATATGATCTGACTGAAATGCCAATTTTAGAATAAAAGTTTGCATTTGAAAGGACATGACAAGGACACTGCTTGTCTGAAAGTCACAGTTTGTAATGTTAATGTTGTCGCCTCTGTCAAAAATATTAAGGATGTTTTTAAAATCTGGTTCATTTAGTTAATTTGGTCTAGAACTGTGGAAGGGCTGTTGCATTTTACCTCTGGTCTGCTTCACACCAAACATTTAAGTGTGGTTATTATTTTCACCTATTAAAGGGTAATGAACAGTTTTTAAACACAAGGCAAGAGTAGCTGATTGGCTAGTCAGTGCTGTCGTATGATGAACAGAGTCAGAGCACATGGTGCAACAGCAGGAACTATAATGTTGCTGTACTTCACCTTTTATGGTTTTAGAATTTAGCCACAAAGAGCTCATAATGTCTACACTGCAAGTGCAGCTCATATTTGGAGAACAATGGTTGACGGAGACCAAATAGTGACATCTGTTGTTAAAGACGGATACGATAACGGCCAAAATGAAAATTATGATTATTTTGGACATTAGTGAGATCATGATTATTTATCTCAGTTATTGGTTGATTTGTTGAATTGTGCGTAAACATGACACTGCTTTGTTGTGCAAATCTTTGCACCAAAAGAAAATCAGCCCTGCTTTTTCACCTAAAGTCGGTGAAACTCATACAATAAAAATAAAAATAAAGGCAAATACAAAAATTAATTTTCTGCATTACTTTCACTTTCTACATTATGCTACACTCCTGTTAATTAAACCACCTCTCCACACAGAAGCCCTGATCACCTGGTCTCTTAGAAGCAAAATATAAAATCTCTCTCTCTCTTTTTCCCCTCTTTGTCATGTTGTATACAGCACAGCTATTGGAAAAGTAATTGCTTGAGGGGATAATATGGCTTTTGTCCAGTGACTATTTTTCCTGAAGCCTTTGCTACTGAGAGTATTTAGTGCATACTTATCTTTGGCCATTATGTCGGTGATTTCAGTACATCTTTGTGAGATGGATCAATATGCGGACGTGCCACACGGGCTCGCATTTGTGGAGTTCTGTGCTGATGTTGGGTAATTCCTGTTAGCAGCCATTGCATTGGTTTTCTTGGACTTGTGTTTGTA